AAAAATTACAGGCAATTTTGAAAGAGATGCATCTTAGCTCTGGAAATTGTTATTGAATATGTCAATGCTGTTGTGATGAAATGCTTCTTCTAAGTATGTGGTTATTATAAAAATAATTTAAAATATTATTTTGAAAAATTAAGAGGGCTGGAGAAATGGCTCGGCAGTTAAAAGCACTGACTGCTCTTACAAGACCCAGGTGTGATGAAATGCTTCTTCTAAGTATGTGGTTATTAAATAAATAATTTAAAATATTATTTTGAAAAATTAAGAGGGCTGGAGAAATGGCTCGGCAGTTAAAAGCACTGACTGCTCTTACAGAAGACCCAGGTTTGAATCTCAGCACCCACATGGTGGCTAACAACTGTCTGTAACTCCAGTTCCAGGTGATCTGGTGCCCTCCTGACCTCTGCAGACACTTCACGACACAGGTGCACTTGCATGCAGGCCACACTCTCATACATATAAAATAATAAAATATTTTAAAAAATTAAAAAAATTAAACCAGGCACATGCAATAAATCCTAGTACTTTAGTTAGAGATCTATTTTGGGCAATTCATAAGCATAATGGGCTTATGATGGTTTACAGAAATGTACTCAAGAATAAAACTGAGGACATTCTGTGAATATATAAATAGCCAACTGCTTAAATAGGCTAGTGGTACCCAGAGGAAAAGGAGCAAATAGAAACTCAGATCTGCGCTCATGATGCCCACGAACACTGTCTTTTTCCTGTGAAGAAGGCAGTGCTGTCTGATGCTCTGCAGTGGGGGCCTTGGGCTCTCAGTAACAATGATAACTGGGAAGGAATATGCACCAGGCCTGGGGTCTACCTTCAGCTTGCTTCTGAATCTCCCAATGTGAAAAGGTAAGAATCAGCTGATAAAGGCACTTGCTATGTAACCTGCAACCTGAGTCTGAGTCCTGGAATTCACATGAAGGTGAGAGAATCAGCTCCACAAAGTTGTCCTCTGATCTCTTCACACCCACTGTGTTACTTACACCCCACCCCACATCATTCACACACACTAAATAAAATAAAAGCAAAGTATTAACTATGGAGGTATGAATGGACACGAACCCCATGTGAAAGAGGATTTCGGGTCTTGATAAGCAAGACTGGCTGGTGAGGAGAGGAATGAAGATTCTTAACAGGGTTTAAGGAATATAGAGCACACGTTGCGTATCCCTTATTCAAAATGCTTGGAACCACAAGTGTTTCAGATTTCAGGCTTTTTTTTTTTTATTTTGGAGTATTTTCATAGACTTTATTTGTTGGGCATCCCAATCCAAAACTCCTCAAATCTGAAGCTTTTTGAGCCCACAAAACTATTTCACAACATTCTAGACACTGCTTGTGACCTGTAACTGCTCACAGAATTAGAAAGCTGTTTTTGAGGACCATGTGGGGTTTCTGTGTGCAAGGAAAAGAGTTCTGCACTAACAGTGGACTGTGTGGTGGTTTGAATGAGAATTGTCTCCCATAGGTCCTGGAACCTTCAGGAGGTTGTGGCCTTGTTAGAGGAGGAATGTCATTGGGGGTGGGCTTTGAGAGTTCATAGCCCTGTCCCATTTCAAATTTGTCTCTCTCTGCTTCCGAAGGTGTCTGCTTAAAGATGTGATCACTCATCTTTCTGTTCTGGCTGCCTTCTGCCATGCTGCCCTTGCCGTGATGGACTCTTATCGCCTCGTAAACCAAATAACCTCTTCTATAAGTTGCTTTGTTATATGTTTTTCTCACAGCAACAGAAAAGCAACTAATCTAGATATCCAGAAGGACATTCAAACCCAAAGCATTCCCTCCCTCCCTCCCTTCCTTCTTCCCTCCCCATGTATTATATACATATATGGAGAATGTCATACAGAAAATGAAACAGAATCCAGGGATCCAATCAGATGCAGAGAATGTGGATACAAACTTATGTGTAAGAAAATAACAAAACGCTTGGTGATTTCTGGTATCTGATGAACAAGGAGTTCAGGAGTATCTCTGTGGGTGCATTTGTCTCATTAATGTTCCTCATTATTACGTAGCTTATGATTCAGTATACTTACGAACACAACTACATATACATATATATATATATATGTAATTTCATTTTATAAACAAGTTGTAGAAACAGGTTGTATTTTAACTTTGTATAAAGAAATTTTGATGAACCAAAAACTAAATACATAAACTATCTCTAACACCTGGGATTATTTCTTTTATTTTAGTGAAACTTACAAAGCAAATAACTAGAGTGATGAGGTTTTGACTCAAGTTAAATGCTCTTGGACACCTCTATTTCTATGCTAGGGATCTTTAAAGGATGGCTCACGTTGCAAAGAAGAGTCTGTGGGTCCTGAGAGTCAGAGGGTAGATAGATGCTCAATTCCTAATCTCTACTTAAACTTTGAGCATCTGGTATATGATGGCAGGGAGCCAGGGGAAAGTCTCATAAACTGGCCTTAAAACTTCAGGAGGTTGAAAGTCTACTTTTTACAACATTTGATTTTTTCCCCCAAATTAATCCCATCCCAAATAGCTTTACAAGTTGATTAACCTCTTATATGAAGAGTTTTAGCTTCCCAAGTGGTTATGTACTTACTGGGTTCTAGCTTCAAAATAATTATGTCTCATATTTTGTATGGAGGGCAAGTCCACGGGGCCAATTATTCTTCTGTTTTCTTATTTCCTATTGCCCTAAATAACTTCAAGAAGAAAGCAGATTGAGCCAGTTAGGAATTAATGAACCACATTTTAATCAATATGAAAATAGAAACATTTGTTAACAACTTATTAGGCCAAAATTTACAAGAATGTATAAAGAATTAAAAAAAATTATGCCTTGAAAACAAAGTGCCAAAAATCTTAGAGATCTCTAAACTTAGAGAATTAGAGGTAACAAGAATTACTCAGAAAACAAGGTTTGGAAAGAATCTGAAAGAATTCCAGGTGTGTTTGAAAGACAAAAACATACTATTTTGTACATGAAGTAAAAAGATTTTGAAGCACATATGCAGATGATCCAACAAATCAATGAACAGATGCCTGAACGAGCTGCTGAATACTAGAGTATGACTGTTTAAATTCACATTATGCATCAGGCTTCCCTCCCGCCTCACTGTCCCTTGCTCTGCTCTGCGTCTCAGGGAATCACTTTCCAGAGGCCTCAGCAGCTGGCTTTCAGGTTTGCCTGGGACGGTAAATGCTGGTGCCGGATGTGAGCTCAGGAGCTAAGAGGCCTGGGTAAGTCTTGGTGTCTGACTCTGTTCTGGCTTGCACCTCAGATGATGGCTTTGTCCTTTCCACGGCTCTGTTTACCATGATCCCCCTGGTCCCAGCTCCTAGGAGGCAGCCTGAACAGGGTTCCTATTTACGTGGCTGATAACCAGGAAACCAACCTCCTCTCACAGCCTCATGGCCTCAGCTGTGCTAACAGCCTTCTGGTGTTTGGCTCTTTTTAAAAACTACCTACTTAAGTAAATTGCCTGTACTGAATCCTCTCTATTCAAACACCTACAATGGCTCATGTTTTCTGGACTGGGTCCTGACAAGATGCATATTACAGTACTACATTTTTTCTCCTCTCACTTATCTGGGAAGGTTGCATGAAATATGTGCCCTAAGCCAAGGGGAAAAAAAATCACTCAAATTACACAAAAGCCAATTTCTGAAATATTATAGGCCAATGAGCATCTGAGCTGTTTGTTTCTGCCAAGAACTGGGATACTCTTTGCCAAGTTCAAATACGACTCTGACTCTCCACTAAGGTCACTACCAAAGTCAGTCTTCTCCAGGGCCACACTTTACTTCATGTACTATGTGTGATGACAAGGCAAAAGAAACATGAACTGAACTTAACCTTAAGAGGAAATTATAAAATCATCCAATGAACAAAACTGTACATTAAAAAAAAGTCTGGAAACAATAAAAACAGTAATCCGATTCATCAGTGACTCATCAATGAACTCTCGTAGCTTTGCAGGTAGAAAGATGGTCGATAGCCTAAGTAGAGTTCTTTAGTGAGCATGGAGACCACACAAGGGATCTGCTTCTTCTCATTACGGCAGAGGTCATAAGACTGGGACTCAAAGTGCCTGGCCACCCTGCAATTCACCCTGGTGAGGATATGCATGATCTCCAGGTCTTTGCCGTGCTCATCCAGGACGGAGCAGAGGGCCTGCACAAACCAGGAGCCTTTTCCCGGGTCCCTCCATGAGTAATAGCCTTCATCAGGAGAGAAATGAGTTGACACTTTTAGCTACCTCCGGTAGCCACTTTGCCTACTGAGAATGAACTTTTAGCACTGGGGACTTTATGTTTGCTTTCTGGAAAAGATTTCCCTCTCTTCTGCATGCCAAGTCACTAATGAGAATTACACTGTGTTGACGGCAAACACTGAAGCACTACATATAAAGACGCTGAAAAATACTTTGGGTGTTTCAGGACAAGCCAGTGTTGGTGGATATTTCCAGAGAACCCTCCTGCATCTGTCTACGAGATGCCCTAGAGACAGTGAGGCCATTTATATCCATGGAGATTCCACAGGGAAGGTGCAGGATTGCCTCACAGCTTTCAAACTCCTCACCACCTTTTTGGGGGTGAATGCTACTACTTGGTAACCCAACTCCAGAGCAGAAAGTTGTAAGGAGCCCCAGAGAATTTTCAGGCATGTTTTCACTGTCAGGGGATGCAGAAGCAGAGCTAGCACCTGCTAAAGACATGGAGAGGGAAATGTTGGGGCCGAGGCAGGAAAGGCTCCTGACCCAGTAGGGTAGGCACTATCAGGCCAATAATATGCTTCTCACGGACCACATGTGGTGTCTGGAAAATAAAGCTGGCTCTTGGGTTTTCCTGGGTCCTGGCCCAATGGTCTTCTGAAGGGGCAGGACTTTAGCAGACAGAGGATGTGTAAGAGCCCTGGAGGATCCCAGGAGCTAAGGACAGAATCACAGTGACCAACAAGGAGAAAGGGAAGAACAGAGTCTAGGAAACCCACGAACCCACAAAGCAGCTGGCTTTTGTCATCTGACAGGCCAGCGTGCAAGTTTAGAGGACCAATAGACTTGCTTGACCTTTTCTCTCTAGAGTATTGAGGAGTCTGAAAGCTGTGAGGAGATCCTGCACCTTCTCTGTGGAATCTCCATGTGGAAATGGCTCCCTCCCTCCCACCTTTGAGCCTAGGAGAATCTAAAATTGGATCTTGCAAATGGGAAAGCTGGAAGAACAAGCTTCTCAGAGCACATTAGCATGGCTGATCTGGAGCTGATACTGCACTTCTAAATGGTTACCTAGAAACCATTATAGGACAGAGGTCAGAGGATCCAAGTCCAAGGAGATGGCCTGCCCTTGTCCAGTTCCAGGTCACCATGATGAAGGAGACAGTGTATGGGTCCCCATCAACAAATGAATGCAATGTCAGGTGGAGTTTCGTGCATCATCTCCAGCTAGACGTTCTGGTGACAGCACTGCCACCATTTGTGACCTTGAAACATGGCCACAATATTGTCTGGTGTCTTAGCCTGAGCAGCAAAGCCATCGAGCTGCTGCCTCTTCAACCCAAGGATGGCAAGACAACACACAGTTGTATTTGGTTACGTGATGAGCTGTGCTGCCTCTTCCTGCCTGTCAACTGGTCCGATCCAGTCTGATGAGAACTGAACCAGCATCATTTTCATGTCTAACACCCAGTTATGGCACAAAGGGTCAATCAGCAGTAAGTACACAGTAAACTCCAGTGAGAAATGATTGTGGCGTCCTTGGAATCTCTGTCTGTAGCATACATGCATACTGAGGACCACCAGCCCAAGGCAGGGGTTAGATAGGATTAGTTGCTCCACAACACATTCATTTGTAGGCAGGGTCTCATTCAACATAGTGATCTGGCAAAGGCTACATGGATTATCATCTCCCTGGGTTTGTGCCTACTGACCTCTGACCTCTAGGGACTACAAGGCAACCATCCAAAATGTATATGTCATTCTTTGACCTGAAACAGTCTTACATTTCCTTATCAGGGTTTAGGCCCACCATAGCAGGCTCCCGTGTCTACTACTAAGGCCTAATCTTTCCATGGCCATACACTGAGCTATAGAGTAAGCCGCACCCTCACCCACCCCCAAGTTCACATATTGAGGTTCCAGCCTTTATGGAGGTAATTAAATTAAACAAGGTCAGAAAAGTGGGTCCCTCATCGTGGAAGAGGGGGTGGAAAGATTGTAAGAGCCAGGGAGGAGGTGCATGACCACACAGAAACAGGGTCCCTACAAGCTCCTGGGATCCTGTTCATATGATTCTATTGCAATGGTGTCAGCATACATAAGTCCCATGCAAACTCAGGCAGATAAAAACCCAGCATAGAACTGGGGAAATGAACAGCAGACCCCAGTCCTAGCTGAGGAAACACTGGCAGCTGATTACTGCTGGGTGAGGAAGAGCTGATCTTAAAACAAGGGACTCTAGATAGGCTGACTAGACCTCAGTGGATGGACTTGCACTGGGGAACATCTGGGGACACTGACTTGATACAGTGGGCCTTAACATGGGATGACAAGAGCATATGGGTTCCAGTGGGGGGGCTATGGGAGGATGTTGGTGGGGACAGGAAGTATAAAGATTGTCTGAGATATTATGTATGAAATACATAAAAATTCAATAAAAACAAATTTAAAAAAAGTGGGTCCCTGATCCAACAGGATTATTATAAGAGATGCTTATTATTATAAGAGAGCCTTATTAGAAGAGATGACAGGGCCCTCTCTCTCTCTCTCTCTCTCTCTCTCTCTCTCTCTCTCTCTCCCCTCCTTCCTCTCTGCTGTATGAGGACAAAGGAAGAAGATGGTCATTATTAAGGCAGGAAAGTGGCTCTCTTCAGAAACCTCTTCAGCTATGCCAGCTGACACCTTGATCTTAGGCTTCCCAGTCTCTAAATCTATGAGAAATAGATGTTTGTCATTCAAGTCATCCCACTATGGAATCCGTTACAAAGACTTAAGCATCTGACACATCCTATGATTCTCTCAGCCTTGTGTCTAGCAAGCATAATGGTCTAACTGACCTAGCACAGTCTGATGACTGAATTTTCAGGAGTCAGTTATGATAGTAACTTTTAGGAAAGTCTTTCTCCGCTGCCTCCTTAGAAGAGTTTGCCCTCCTACCTAAGTTCTTTTAGACCTTGCTCAGAACATCTACAACTTCACATTGGGTTTGTTTATACTGAAATATGGCTATTCTTATATGACCTTCCTTCCAAGAAAAGGAAGACCAACTTATTTTCTATTCCACACAATGCTTAAAACTTGTAGGCTATCATCCTCACAAAAACCCATCTGTAGATTTTGCCAGAGATGGTCTTTCCAAATACGATGATTTATTTACTGTAACTAATACCATTGCATGAAGCGCTCTGCAAAAATGCTTCTATACTGAAATGCTTCAGAACTTTCGAGCATGATACTGATGCTGTTTCAAATTTTAAAACATTTTGAGTTAGGGATGCTCAGACTAGAACTGATTACTTCAGCAATAGAAAACTAATACAGCCCTCAGGACTGCACTTTGATGGAGGAATGAACTGGTAAGATTAGCAGACAGTGGACAGGATACCTGGAGCTGTGGAATAAGCGAAGAGGAAGTCGGCTTCAACTGGGATCTTACAGTGGGGATTTGCATCAGTGTCGCTGATCGACCCTGAGTCGGCCTGGATCCCGTCATCGAGCTCTGTCCCTCGGGAAGCCTAAGACATATCAAAGTAGAGGTCACACCATGGAGCTGGAAGCAGAAATGTGTGTACTGTTCCCTGCTGTGCCTGGTATACACCAGGAGCTCCGTGGCCATCTGATGCAAGTCAAGATACAGAGCAAAGCTTTGTGATGTCTTACAAAAACAATGCAAATACCTATGCCAACCATTTCCAGGCAGAAAGTCCAACCCCCCGTTTGCATACCCCATCGAAACAGTACATTGATTTGCACAGGTAATGCCATCCCTGGCACCCTGTAAGCTTTTCCTACATTCAGTCCCACTGGTTTTGAGAAAGGTGATTACCTGAATGAAGAAGAGTTTGGGTTTCTCTAACAGGGTTTTGCATCGATCTCCCCTAAAATGAACTGCCAAATCTTTTATTGGTATCATCATACCATCTTTCCCATAAATTGAATCTTCTTCTCCGTGGCTTAGCAGGATGCAGGCAAAACAGGCTGAGTTGCTGTGGTCCTCCTCAGAGGCTGCAAGGAAGCAATGTTAACACTGATGAGTTAAAACTCACATCCTCTGGGACCTCAAAGGTGCTCATCTAGAACCAGCTGAGCACGTGCCAGTGACCATTAGGGACCAGGAAGGAGTGCGTGATCAGGCTCCTTTCAAAAGGCTGGGCTTGGTATAGGCCACTATTCTGAAGAGAATGAAGACTGGTGGAGAGAAGGTGGAGAATTCTAGAATTTCTCTCTGTTAGAACCCAGGCTGCAGTGGTCTCAGACCCCTGAGTACCCTGAGCTGGAGCCACTGGAGGACACTTTACCAGGGGGGAGGGCACCTGGTAGGCTTCTCAACCTCCATTTTACTGTCTGTCTGCGAAGAGGTTACAGCAGCTATTAGAGTTACTGTTTCCAAAGTGAGGCCCATAAGAAGGATCATGCAAGTGTTTGTTGAAGAAAAGAAAACGTCACGCCCAGTGAAATAAGTCACAAAAAGGACAAATGCTGTAGGTCTTTACTTTTCCTGAGACACAGAAAGAAGTCAAGTTCATAGGACAGTGACTGTCAGTGGCTGGGGTGAAGAGGAGATGGAATGTTCAACAGACATGATGCTTCAGTTATGGAAGGTGAAAATTCTGGAGTGTGTGGTGGTAACATTTGTCTAATGTGAATATGCTTAATGCCACTGAACTTAAAATTGATTAAAACAGGGGCTGGCGAGATGGCTCAAGATGGCTCAGTGGTTAAGAGCACTGATTGCTCTTGTAGAGAACCTGGGTTCGATTCCCCGCACTCTATGGCTGCTAACAACGGTCTATAACTCTAGTTCCAGGGGAATCCAACACCTTCTTCTGACCTTCTTGGGCACTGCATGACATGGGTGTACTTATACACATGCAGGCAATACACTCATACACTAAAATAAAAATAATAAACGATGATTAAAACAGTGTTTTTAAAAAAATATTTTATTATGCCTGCATGTAGGTAAGTGCACCTGTGTCATGCAATGCCTGCAGAGGACAGAAGAGGCTGTCAGATCCCCTGCAGCTGGAGTTATGGACAGGTGTTAGCTGCCATGTGGGTGCTGGGATTCAAACCCAAGTCTTCTGTAAGACCAGTCAGTGTTCTTAACTGTTGAGCCATCTTTCCAGCCCCCAACAGTGTTTTATATTACACTTACTTTATCACAATAAAAACACAACATATATCTGAGGGACTCTAGGTCGGCACACCCCACACATACTAGCACATTCATGTTTGTTGCTACGCTAGTCACAATAGTCAGGAAATAGAACCAGCTGAGATGCCCATCAACAGATAAAGAAAATGTGGCATATATACGCATGGAATTATATTCTGCTATGAAAAAAATGAAATCATGACATTTACAGGAAAACGGATGGTCCTGGATGTCACTTTATTAAGTGAAATTAGCCAGGCTCCGAAAGAGAAATACCACATTTTCGCTCATGTGTGGAACCTACATTTAAAAATACGTGTAAATGTGTGTGTATGTGTTTATATATGTGTGCATGTAGGCAATAAAACTAGAAAAGTGATCGTGAGAGGGGAGGAAGAGATCTTAATGTGGGGAGGGGTAAGACAACAGAATACACATGATAAGAAAACAGGAAGGAACCATGGGGAGGACAGAGTGCTCTGGGAGGGCAGTAGGGTATGAACGAGATACATACGTACGAAAACATCATAATGAAACCCATTGCTTTGTACGCTAAACTAAAAAATTAACCCCCCAAAAGGAAAAATAAATGAAAATACTATCAATCTAGGAATTAGGAAAGGAATCACTGCAAAGTTGACTCTCTTGCCTGCAACTTATCTACAGCTCTGGTGACACTAACTACCTACTAGCTAAGTATCATACATAGCCTTTCCTTCTTGTCTATGAAGAAAGGGAAGAATAAGACTTAGAATTCTGAGCCAGGTGTGGTGGCGCATGCCTTTAGTCCAAGTACTCAGGAGGTGGGGGCAGGGGGATATCTGTGAGTTCAAGGCCAGCCTGGTCTACGTAGTGAGACTCTGTCTCAAAAAAAGAAAAAGATTTAGGATTTCAAGGATACCTCCTACATGCGGAAACTCATCCATGTATCTCATGTAAATTATCTTATTTAATCCCTACAAGAATCCCTGGTCTTCATTTCACTAAGAACAAATGGAATCTTGGGAGTTTTGTTGTAACCTTGCCTGAAGGTAGCATGACCTTGGAGTCTTGCCATCTTTGAGGCATCTGGGTTTTTGTTTTTTTTTTTTTTTCTTTTGGTCTTTTTGAGACACAGTCTCCCTGTAGCCTCAGCTGGCTGGAACTCACTATGTTGACCAGGCTGGCCTTGAACTCACAGAGATCCACCTGCCTCTGCCTCCCAAGTGCTGGGATTAAAGGCATGTGCCACCATGCCCGGTGGCATCTGGGGTTTTAAAGCCTGCTGCCTCATCCCCTTACTCTCCTGCAGGTGTGAGCTCTTCCCATGTAATCACTGAGACACTTGTGCCCAGACCTGCACAGGGACTTCCGTATCTGCTTTGACAACAGTGACGAGATGATGATTATGAAAGTTGGAGCTCCCAGGTGAATTAGGACAGAGTTGGAAAATCAGTTTTGTACTCAACAGAACCTATAACACAGTCAAGAAAATTAACTGCATTTCTGTTTGGAGAGGACAACAATGAATAAGGACCCTGACAGTGCCTGCTCTAGGCTCAGATGGAGTAATTCACCTTTCATGAGAACAGAAACTAGCACAAACCCTTTATGCCCATGGAGGCCTGAATGCCTTGCTAGGCACAATCTCTGATCTTCCCTCCAATCCTGAGGAGCACATGGAGCTGGTACTATCATGTACATTTCAGGAATTGGGGAGATACAGTGGGTCTTATGTGGGACAGCAGCTGTTGGAGTGTAGGCCAGGCCTACACTCAAATTTTTCATACTAGGGTATAAAAGTTGCCAAGTATGGTGGCACATGCCTTTAATCCCAGCACTTGGGAGGCAAAGGGGCGGGCTCTGTGAGATTGAGGCCAGCCTGGTCTACATGGTGAATTCTAGGCCTACTGAGGCTACTGGGAAACCCTGTTTTAAAAAGATCAAAAACTAACCAACCAAACAAACAAAAGTTAACCTTGTAAGACTCAAGTTTGAAGAGATCAGGAAAATAAGTCAAATTAGAGATTTTTATTTTATTTTTAATTATGTGTGTAGGTGTGGGGAGGGGCAGTATGTGCACGTATGTACAGGTGCCTGTGGAATCCAGAAGAGGGTGACGAACTCCCTGGAGCTGGAGTTACATGTTATGAGCTGCTCAACAATCTGGGAACTGAACTCAGGTCCTATGCAAGAGCAGTACATGCTCTTAACTGCTGAGCTATCTTTCCAACCCCAAGAAGATGAATTAAAAGGAAAATTTTAAAAGGCTAGAGTCTTTCTTTTTTATAGCTGTGTATCTAAGAAAAGCTGCAGTGTACCATCTGTTGTCTGCAGGTCCCTGTCAAACTAGCAGGTAGAGCTCTCCTTTCAGACACTTGCCCAAGTGTCAGAGCACCCTGTTGACATCCATAAAGTGTGGCAACCATGGCCTATGGTGTGGTACAGGATAGTGAGGCTTGGTGGGCCCAACACAAAATCATACACTTAAAGCATTATGATTTCTTTATAATTATGTTTGCTAACTTGATTACACGGTTCTGGAGCATGAGCTGTGTAGATGTATCTCAATGTCAATAGGATGGACATGCCTGTGTGGTGTGGTATCTAGGAAACACGTTTCCTGGAGCTGAGCACTAGACCTTGGGATGTGGTTTGGCCCCTAATTTACTCCCCAGTTTCTCTTTTACCCTCTGTGAAGCTCATCCACACATTTGTAAGGTGGTATGACTGCAGGCCAACACTGCAGAGATGATGTCAAGGATCTAATAAAATTGTGGGCTTGCTACACAGAAAATAAACGAAGGGGATTACTATCTGCTGCCTACCACTAGACAGTTTTCCGTCTGCACTCCATTCTGGATAGGATGGACTTGTTATCTCCTGAGGAATCAGCTTTTTATTTAAAACTGCAGCCGCTTTATATACAGAACCTACTCTCTTCCTGAAATTTAGGCTGATTTCATCTTTTTAACTAAGATACTGTTGTGCTCTTAAAGAGATCAACCTCTTACCTCAGGAAGGCTTCCATGAAGTCCCTCTGTCCTGCCAAGGCATCCTCCTGAGACTGGTTAGAACTTGCTCTTCTCAGCACAGGTAGGTACAGGACAGACAAGGACAGCACATGCTCACCTTGCTTAAGCAGATCTTGCATCTTGGCACATGAGCAGTCATTATAAATGGTCACTTCAAAACCCAGGCTTCGGAAGCACTTGAGGAGAGCCCCTGCGTCCTTGTCTGTTCCATACCGAACGTCCATACCTGTGGGGTTTGTAAAGCAGGGCACGAGATGAGGAAAGCTGAGGGCAGGTTCCCATCAGGCCTGGTGCTGAGTGCTGCCAGGGCCAGCAGCAATGTCAGCATCAATGCAAAGTAGGAAAAACACCTTCCAGTATCACAAGTTAAGCGCACAAGGGGAATGAGAAGCAAACTCAAAGGAGAAGGGATTCAGCCTCCACACAAGGTGAGCTTCCTCGTGGTAACTCAAAGCCACACAGGCTTTGTGATGGCTAGTGTTGACTATCGACTTGCTGGGAACTGGAATCATCCAGAAAACAGGCCTCCAGGTATACCTGTGAGGGATTAACTCCATTAGATTCACTGAGGTGGGAAGGCCCAGCCTAAAGCAGGGAGGGCAACACCTTTCTCGGGGGAGGAGAAAGATAGCCAGGCACTAGCATTCTCATGCTGCTTCCTGACCACTGCCTCAAGCTCCTGTCACCAGGACTTCCCTGCCACAGTGGACTGCATCCTTTAATCTCGAGCCAAAATAAACCCTTTCTTGCCCTTAAGCTGCTTTTGCCAGAGTATTTTATCATAGCAACAGGAAAAGTTAACTGCAAGCTTTCTACACATGGTGGGGGCCTTAGATTGTAAGTTCTTGGTTTCACTTCATCCCTTTCCCCTGGACTCAGGAATACCACCTTCAGAGGGGTTATCTGCCTCCGTGGGCACAGCTGTTCTCTGACCTATGTCTAGTACAACTTGGAGAAAATGGAAGGGATCAGGAGAGGCTGACCCAGGCCCGCATCCCCTACCTGTTTCTTTGTCGAAGTTCTTGTTGTTTATAATGATGCATTTGCCCAGTTTCTCAAAATTCATGTTATAATATGCAGGCACTTGGTTCCAGGTAGTCTTGACTAAGCTCGTGGAATAATTTTTCTTCTTTCTCCTTGGGATACATAAAGTCAGTTAGAGGCTGTGGAAGGAGTTTGGGCAGTTGTGTGCTCAGGGATGCCGTGATATTTGTGAAGAAAAGACCTGAAGAGGACAGATGGCTCTGTTTAACTGTCATGTTTAAATGGAAGCTCCTAGCAAATTTCATTAGATGTCAGAAAATGCAAATTACAGTCATAGCGTGCCTGCAGTGCATACTCCTGGAATGGACACACTGTGAAGAAATGGAGCTCTCAGCACCCGCCGTGAACACGCAAAGCTGCTGGGGGCCTATTTTGGGCATCCACTGCATAAAGCTGGCAGAATACACTAAAACTGAACTTACTCAAACCCCATGGACAGAGCAACCACCCCGGGTGATGTGAACATTTACTAAAAGGCAGAGCTATACTGTTCAAGACATGGAACAATATATCCCGACAGGAAAGAACAGGAATGCTTACAACACTGTGGCTGAACTGCTGAATAGCCACGTGATGAAGCAAAACAATGAGACCCATATGAGCTACAACAACCTGAAGCAACATGAAAGAACCTCATAAATGCAACACAGCAAAGAACCAATATACAATCATGTGTCCAGACTTCAAAGTACCTGGTACTAAACGTTTGGAGATGGTTTTACCCACTGCTGGGCGGGGTCCAGAGAGACAAAGATTTTCAGGAGTGTCAACCACATTTTTACTTTTTTATTTATTAAAAAATATATGTGTGTGTGTGTGTGTGTGTGTGTGTGTGTAGTGTATGTGTATGCATGTGTGTATAGAGCACCAGTCTGTGTGTAGGCCTCTGGAGGGCAGAGGTCCTTGACTTTGGGTGCCTTCCTTTACTGCTCGCCACTTTATGTTTTTAGACAGAATCTCTTGTTAAACTTAGAGCGTGCTGCTTCAGCTAGGCTGGCCAGTAAGCCCCACCCCACCTGGATCCACCTATCTCTGCTTCCCACCAGTGCTGGGGTTACAGACACTCTCAGTCATGCCTGGTTTTTATGTGGGAGTTGGGGATCCGAACTCAGGTCCTTCTGCTTGCTCAGCAAGCTCTTTAACCCATGGAGCCGACTCCCCAACCTTCATACTTTCTTGGTATGGGTAAGGCTTATAGGCACACATCAGCAAAATTTCATTATGTATGCACTTTTCTATGTGGATGCTATACGTCACGGCACTTATATTAACAGAGGAAAAAAAAAAAAAAAAGTAATTCAAAAAAGAATGCAAGTTCCTTCCAGCCTCCAAACAACTGTGGATCTGCGGGCCAAAACTCTGGCACACAGGTCCTGTGGTGAGAACATGGCCATCATGAAGATGACAGAGAACCAAATGAGACCTGAGAGTGGGAAGCAGCCCTGCTGGTCTCCCGTCTGGTGTGAGCTTCAGGGGGACAAGTTTTTTTTTTTCTTTAAACTGTCCTGAAAATTGCTGAATCCTCAACACTTAGGATGAGATGCTTGCCATATAACATGCTGAATAAACATTTGCTATTCGAATGAATGAATCAACAGAACATTATTCCTTCACAGTATACATATAAAAGCTGAGGTTCACAAGGAGGCAGGGAGGTTGTCCAGGACACCCAGCTAGTGACAGGCAAAGCTGGACAGTCACATGGCCCTTAGGTCTGTACACAGGAGCTGCCAAATCCTGCACCTGTGAATGTTGATCACCATCCTTCTCACTGGGTCTCCCCTAAAGATGGCAGAGGCAAAGCAACGATGAAAACTCAGCTGGTGCTTGCGAAATGTGGGTTCCAGGGCACTGTCCCTGCATGTTCCTGGACTCTCTGTGGGAGTTTCTCAGCATCTCTGAAAAGATGTGGCCTTTCTCCACCCTGCTCCTCCTGTGTTCCAGATTACAGACGGGCTCGGTGCATCCAACCTGCTGATTCCTTCTTGTTCTCGCTTCAGTTGGACACGACTCCATCTCCCACTTTGACAAGCTCATATTTCTTCCCTGATGCCATCTTATTTTTAAAAGACAACTACCCGGAATCTGATTTCTCCTTCCTCTTGCGTTCAGCCCCGCCAGCTGTGCCTCAAAGTTCAATTCCTAGACAAACAGTGCCAAGGAGTGCTGGGCTTTGAGTAGGCAGAGCTCTGTGTCCACCTGCCTCTGGACTTGGGCCAGTGAGTCACTGCCTTTTTCAGAGTGCCAACTTCCTCCTAGAAAATGGAGCTAGTTGCACAAAGCAGGTACAGCCTACTTGCATTAGACAATTGTTCTCTAGAATAACAGAACTCAGAATGAATATATATTAAAAGGGGATTTATTAGATTGCTTTACAGGATACAGTTGCAGTAGTCCAACAATGGCTGTCTCACACCAGACAGGCTGAGAACACAGTGGTTGCTCCACCCAAAAGGCTGGGTGCCTCAGTAATCCCAATCTGCTACTAAAGACATGGAGGGTCCTCAGTCCACACTGGAAGCCTGGAATGCTGGTTCTAGTATCAGCAAAGGAATCAGCAGTAGCAGCAACCAGGCAAATTAACTCAGTGGTGAGAGGGAGGGCCAAGCTAGCAATGGGCAAATAACCTTTCTTCGGTGTGCTACTAGAAGGTGCCGCCCACATTTGGGGTGGGTCTTCCAATATCAATGAAAGCAGTCAGGACAATTCCTTAGCTGAGGCTCCCTGTTCAGGTGATTCTAAGTTGTGGCATGTGACATTAAAACCAACCAGCCCATTGCTACAGTTAGATGGGAGGCAGGTGGCAGCAGGCCCTTCCCATGGAGCCCCCTCAGAGGACATGAGCGTCAGCAAAGTGAATTTCTGTACGTTCAAGGGTATCACATGGCAGAAATGGGACTTATTTCCTCATTATCTCCTTCTCCATGGTCCGATGGATGGTGTCCTCTGTGTGTGTTAAAATTCAGATGTGGCAGCACACGCCTTTAATCCCACCACTACGGAGGCAAAACAGGCAGATCTCTGAGAGTAAGGCCAGCTTGGTCTACATAGTGAGTTCCAGGCTGGCTGGGGCTACTAAGTGACCCAGTCTCAACAAACAAGCAAGCAAGCAAGCAAGCAAGCAAACAAACACAACTCCCTTCCCCAAACCCTAATCAACCAATCAATTAAATAAAATACAGATGTGCAGTCTTTGATACACAAACAAAATCTCTCCTCTTCAGCAGATGCCTTGGAGGTGGGCAGGGAATACAAGGTTCACTTAACAGGGAGTAATAACAATTAGCATTGTCAGTGCCTGCAGGATTTGTTAAAACTATCAGCCGCAATCCCTCACTGGCTCTTGACAGGGGCCCACAGAGCAGGTGGATACCACCATGATCCCATTTAAGGATGAGTGACAGAGGCTAGGTGGTTAAATAACTGCCTTGAGAGTGGGTGGGCACATTAAGTACAAATCCAAGTGGGTGGCCCACACACAGTCTTGTTACTCCTTGGACATTGGTGACCCCAGATGGAAGCAGCAAGTGATGGGCTTCTAAATAAAGCCACCTGCAATAGGCCACCTTCCTGTAGAGAGGTCATTCATTGTTTGAGGCCCTGGGGCTGACAGGCAGGTGTCCAGGTGATCCTTCAAGAGAATCTACTCAGTCTACCTCCCAGACCAGCCAGGCTGGGCCAGCAGCTGACTTGGGAAAAATGGAGGTGTGCTGGAAAAACCCTCTTAAGAGTTTCGACTTTTTCATTGATAGACATAGTGCTTGTTACCACTGTTAGGATCAAATAGGATAAGGTATGTGAAAGTACTTTGAAATCAAGTTCAGAATAAACAGTCTACTTATGTCCCTGTTCCTTGCTGGCACCTGACACCTATGGGCCAGGAGTGTCACAGAATCACTGCTACTTCCCAACGTGCATTTGTGCAGACAAGAAAGTTCAAATTCAGACGTGGCTGGGATAGGAGTCTCTGTGAACCAGCCTCTTTTTCACCTGTCTGCTTTCTCCACATATCTTTGAACAGACACTGCCTTTGATATTAAAATCCAGGAGAGCACCCACTCATGACTCAGCTTGCTTTGGGGGAGGCTGGAGCATAATCTGTGACCTTTTTAAAGAAAATTCTTTTCACATCTATTTTAATTGTATGTGTATGAGTGTTTTGTTTGCCTGTATGTAAGTGTACTATGTGTGTGAAAGGTCAGAAGAGGGCATTGGACTCTTGGAACTTAAGTTACAGACTGTTGTTAGCTGCCATGTGGGTGCTAGAAACTGAATGCAGGTCCTCTATTAGGGCAGCTAGAGCTCTTAGCTGCTGAGCCATCTCTCTAGCTTTCTCTTGTCTTAGTTTTTTGAGAGAGGGTCTCCCTGTAGCCCCAGATGACCCAGAACTTGCTATGCAGGCCAGGCTGGCTTTGATCTCAGAGATCCACCTGCCTCTGCCTCCTGAATGCTGGTATTAAAGGCACAGCTCACCATGCTTGGCTCTGTGATCTTTCTTAAACTAGGTCCCCTGGTCCAGTTAACCTCACAACAAAGGTAGCTTTGGGATAGGCTTTAGCAAACATTCTATGATCTCCTCAGAAAAGACCAGAATGAGACAAAATGAGAGAAAACTGGCCAGGTAAAGTGGGGCTTTTAGCATATCAACCTCATTTATGGCAAGGGTTCTACATCCTTCAGCTAACTGAAGGCTACTTAGGGCCTGCGGTGGAAGCAGGCACCTGGCAGGCTGGAGGACACACTTTATTCAAGACAACCCTTAAAGAGATAAAATTTGACTTCTATGTTCTGTCATGATGAGGACTCCTAGGATGATGCCCTGTACGAACACGCTGTGGCTGCTGTATTTCAGCTGCCACCACTTCATCCTGAGTAACCAGCAAACACAGCCAGCAAGACAGGCTCAGAGGAGAGACATTATGTGGAAAAGCAAGGGGCTCTGCTTTTCAATCCTGGGAAACTGCTTCATGATTCTAAAATTTAGTTAGCAATTCATCTGGTTAGAGAAGGAACAAGATTGGAGAATAAAGACATATACACTTTAAAGACAATACTACGTGGTTATGAAAAGTACCTAAAAATTAAAAGTGAT